TTCCCTTTACTCCTTTTCTATAGGTTCACACCATTCTATTTTGTTTTGCATTTGCTGTGATTTGTCTCAAATTATTTACTTAGCAAGTAATTACTGACAGTCCTTGGGATGGAGGAGTTCTGGCACCAGGGGAGATAGAAACAAACGGAGTGGTAAGAGGGGACCAAGCACCTAAGAGCCAAGGGATGGACACAACTCTAAACTAAGTCTCTCCTAACCATGAAGTAGCAGGAACAAGAGGAGTCAGTTCACTCCTCCTAACGCTGTGGCTGAGTTGTGGAAGCCACAGGTGGCAGGGGAAGAGGTGTCAGAACAGGCAGGGCCGCTATGCTGAAGTGCAGAGTCACATTCTAAGGCATCAGGAAGCATTTTTTTACGTGGGGAAGACACAAGTTTTGCTCTAAGAAAATTGCAGTAGGTCTGTGAGAAGAGGTAGCAGATGCAGCAACGTCATTTGCAGTGTCAGCCAGCACAACTACAGAACACATAGGGCAGGTTACCTGCTGCATGCCTTGCAGCAGGAAGAGCTTGTCCCTGCAGAGTCTGCATAATTGTCCCTTAATCTGCTGGCATGTTTCATTGTGACACACCCATACAGAGGTGTTAAAGCAGGGATGTGTGAAAAACTGACCCTCAAGACGCCCTGCCCCAGGTCACCCCTCTCTAGCACTGGTCCAGTTACACCAGACTTTCTTGACAGTTTTATAGCCTGTGTATTTTATAGCCTGAGATAGAGCTGAGCCTGTATTTGGACTGTTCAGAGACTGACTGACTGTGCTCTTGTGATGTCCTCCTGGGCCACCACATCTGAGACTTTCATCCCTTCTCTCTGCTCATCTGCAGTTCACGCAGGGCCATCCCCAGTGAGCTCATCTTGGTGAAGGCTGAGTGGGGTCACGACTACATGAGTTTCATGTTAGAATGTTCCTGGAAGTGCAACTCTGGACCCCAGGGCCATAGCACACTATTCTTGCAAAGCCTTGATTAAAGCAGGTCTCTTTGTCCTACATGTCCAACACTTGCTGTTTTCTCCTTGCTAGGTTTTCTAGTCCCATGAATGCACCTTAGTCCTTACCAGAAGGTTTAGGGTCATCCAAAAATTTTAATCAAAACAAGTTTCTAGAGAATACTACTACAAGTTTTTTTTTTTTTTTTTTTTTTTTTTTTTTTTTTTTTTTTTTAAAGGACTTTTCTGGGCAGTGGTGGCCCACACCTTTAATCCCAGCATGTGAGTTCGAGGCCAGCCTGGTCTACAAAGTGAGACCCAGGACAGCAAGAGCTACACAGAGAAATCCTGTCTCAAAAAAAAAACAAAAACAAAAACAAACAAAAACCCAAACAAACAAACAAACAAAAAAAACAAAAACAAAAGAAGGGGGGAAAGGGAACTATTTTTAAAAAGATTTTTAAACATTTTAAAAGTACGCATATGTGTGTGTGTATCTGTACATTTGGGAGTGTACATTGGGAGTACAAGTACCCAAGGAGTCCAGAGTGTCAGGCACTTGTGAGCCATCTAATATGGATACTGAAAACCAAACTCAGGTCCTCTGCAAGAGCAGTATTAATCTCTTATTAACCACTAAGCCATCTCTCCAGCCCCAGGAAATTTTTTGTTTTGTTTAATTTTTTGTTTTTTTGAAACAGAGCTTCTTTGTGTAGCCCTGGCTGTCCTGGAACTCACTCTGTAGACTAGCTTGACCTCAAACTCACAGAGATCCACCTGACTCCACCTCTAGAGTGCTGGGATTAAAGGTGTGTGCCACCACCACCCCGAGTCTCTTTCTCTTTTTGAAAATATCATTTTGTGTGTGTGTATAATTGTGTGTAGGAGTGTGCCTATCATAGCACATGCATGGCATGCGTGGAGATCATAGGGCAATTTTTGTGGAGTTTGTTGTCTCTTCCCACCTTTATGTGGGTTCTGGGGATTGAATTTCAGTTGTCCGGTTATGTCATTGGGCAGCAAGCGCCTTTACCGGCTGAGCCACCTCACTGGATCCTCCATCTTATTTTTTGAGACAGGATCTAAAGCTGGGTCATTGACACTGAACCTGGAGCTTGCCCTTTTGGTTAGATTGGTTGGTGATGTGTGTTTTTCTCCTTCCACAGGACCCTTCTGTCCCCATCCCTCACAGTTACAGGCTCACACTGCAGTGTCTGGCTTTTATATGGGTTCTGGGAATCTGAATTAAGGTCCTCATGTTTGTACGGCAAGCATTTTACCCACTGAGCCACCTTTCCAGCCCTTTCAAATTCTAAAAATGTTCCTTAGCATGCAGAGACCAGAAGAGAAACTTGGGTAAAGGAGAGCAGGTGGCTAGATACTTGGTAGCAACTGGCTCCTGCTGATTGGCCAAGTTTCTTCCTACTTGCCCACCTTCTTGGCATCTTTCTTTCTGCTTGGTTTTGTTTTAAATCCTTCTTTGTTTATCACTTATTATTTTAGAAGACACCAGCTGGCAACCTGTGTACCCAGTCTGCCTCAATTTCAACTTCTTCTCAGTCTTGAAACAAGCATAAAAAATTCCTTTGGCTGTTAAACATGTCCAAAGACATGAGAATGAAGACACAGTCTGAAAGCATTTCTGCATACATTAGACAGAACACCAGTTCCAACTGCTTACTCTATTAACATTAATTTCTATAGCACGAAGCTGGTAGGGAAGTTGCCTCTAGTAAGCTGTCAGTACAATGGAATGCAGTGAGTATGTGTGTGTGTTTGTCTCCTAGAACTTGCTATGTAGACTAGGCTATCCTTGAACTCAGAGATCCACCTGCCTTTATCTCCCAAGTACTGGGATGAAAGACTTGAGTCACAATACCCAGCTTGGAACACACATTTTAATAGCTTTTCATGTATGAAAAATTCCACAAAGTACCACAATTATTATGGACATGAAGTTTAATAATTTAGGACAAGATAGGGGAAAGCAACTTTTTCAGTTTCTACTTCTGGAAGGTCCAGTGATGATAACAACGGCCATGTTTTAGAGAAGTCAAAGCTGCTGTTCCCCCATCCTTCCAGTCTCTGTCTCTGTCCCTGACTTGTCTGTCTTGATGCTGCTCTTTGCTCTGGGACCACACAGGACCCTCATGATTTTGTCTTCCAAGGGAAGCAGTGGTGGTTTTGTGAGTGAATGGAACATTCACAACCTACAGATGTCAATATTCAGGACTGTAGATGGACAGTAGCAGGGGTTCTACGTAATCAGAGCTCCGGGATAAACCAGCTTTGGATAAACCTGAGGGGCTAGTGTTTGACCTAGACCAACTCAAGTGATGGGAGAGTTTGGCACTTTGCATACAAGAAAGACCCAGCTAGAAGGCTGGAGGAGGGTGTTGCTTGGGGAAGAAGTAGGATTGGTCTGTGGTAGGGACAATATGGGATCCCTGTGTCCTCTGACCTTCCCCAGGCCTGTTTCTGCCCTGCCCTTTTCACTCTTGCTCCTACAGCTGAGCTGAGCCCCATAATCTCCCAGACCTAGTGAGTCCCTGCAGCTGTCTTCCAGGACCAGCTTCTAGGCAGCAGCATGGCAGAGCCTCTACCCACCAAGACCTACAGATCTCCCAGTGCTGTCTTCTTTATCAAGCAACTGTGTCCTCATATCCTAGTTGACACGGTCTGAGCAGAAAACTGAGATGCTCCTCTTATAAGAACCAAGAAGATCAAGCCATTGTCATTCCTTAAGAGAGGACTTAGTGAGAGCCAAAATTAGTGGTACAGTACTCAGGAGGATGAAACAGGATGACGGTCAAGAGTTCAAGGCCAGCCTAGCCTACACAGTAAGATTTAGACATAAAAGCAAATGAACAAACAGTAATCAAGACAGTTTGTATCACTCTTCACTTGCACATGTTAACCAGCTGGCAGTTCCTGACTAACTTCTCCTGCCCTTTATGTAGTGTCAGGTTATGAAGAGGAAGAAAGGCACAGAAGGGAAAACAGCAGCAGAGCACAGGCAGGTGGGATATGACAGGGGGAGGGGGAATTCTGAACCTGGATGTTTCTCTCTCTCTCTCTCTCTCTCTCTCTCTCTCTCTCTCTCTCTCTCTCTCTCTTTTTTGGTTTTTCGAGACAGGGTTTCTCTGTGTAGCTTTGGAGCCTATCCTGGCACTCGCCCTGGAGACCAGGCTGCTCTCGAACTCACGGAGATCTACCTGCCTTTGCCTCCCGAGTGCTGGGATTAAAGGCGTGCGCCACCAATGCCCGGCTTGGATGTTTCTCTTAAGAAGTTAAAGGAAACCAAACATATCAAAACCAGTCCTGAGCCAGGCCCCAACCTGGCTGTGTTTGCTGGGTGTGGGATCTAGGTTACCCTGATCCGAGAAGAGGGAACCTCCACTCCCTCTGATGCACTCCCCAACAGGGATTTAAACCAACAAATGGCAGTCTTTTTTTATATAAAATTTAAGAACTACCTGTTTTTGCTTCAAATGAATCAAGCACTTATAAAAGTCAGAGGTAAGCTGGGTGGTGGTGGCGCACGCCTTTAATCCCAGCATTTGGGAGGCAGAGGCAGGTGGATCTCTGTGAGTTTGAGACCAGCCTGGTCTACAAGAGCTAGTACCAGGACAGCCTCCAAAGCCACAGAGAAAAAAAAAAAAAAAAAAAAAACACCAAACCAAACCCAAAACAAAACAAAAAAACCCAAAACATCTCAGAGGTAACTGAACCGGTTTAACAAAATGATGGCTGGCTCTGTCTGGGGCTGGGAAAGCCGCCTTCCAGGTGTGGCTACTGTAGAAGCCATACTGACCCTGAAGAGCAGGCCTAATGCCCAGAGGTTGATAGGAGAGGACCCTCAGTACTGTCTTCTGCAACTACCCAGAGTTATAGCCTAGCTACAACCTCCAGGTGCAAAGGCTGCAAGAGATAAAAAGGCTGACACAAAGTAGCCCAGCTCCCATCCTAGGAGGACAGCACTGAAGGACAAGGGCACAGCCTGCCTCCAGGGGGCTCAGATATAAGCTATTAACCTTTTCTCTCCTCTCTGTAGGCTTTGTGCTGGTCATCGGACTGGTGACCTTCTACAGAATTGGTCCTTACACCAACTTATCTTGGTCTTGCTACCTGAACATTGGTGCCTGCCTTCTGGCCACACTGGCGGCTGCGATGCTCATCTGGAACATTCTTCACCGAAGGGAGGACTGCATGGCACCCCGGGTGATTGTCATCAGCCGTTCTCTAACAGCACGGTTTCGCCGTGGCTTGGAAAATGACTATGTGGAGTCTCCATGCTGAGAACACCCTTATTGGGACTTTCTCTATGAATAACCACTGTAACTTCATAGTCTAGAAACAAATAGCCTGTCCTAGGCTCTGCTTGTGCAGAGGTGTGGGGCAAGTCTGGGTTACCTATATATACATATGTATGATACTTATGTACATTTATTATGTTACATATGAATATATTATGTGTCTACATGTCATGTGTGCCACCCTACTTCTGACACAATCCTCCTTGGCCAGCACAGCACGGTTTCATATCATGCAGGTTTAAAAGGCAGAGACTAGTTGTTGAGGCAGGGAAGGAGGCAGTGTGGGCACCTTGCTCTCCACCTCTACTTGGGGTTAATTTATTCTGCATCTACTAAGATGGCATCCCTGGTTACTTTTATAAAGCAGAACATCCAGGAAGCTGTTCATGAAGGGTCTGATAACCCTTGAATGAAAGAGAACTCACAACAGGTGGTAACGGTTTATGCCAGAGTCAGGTCAGCAGTGTATGCTTACCCCTGATTATTTGTAAATACACACAAGCCTCTGCACTGTATCTAAAACTTGTGCTTTATAAACTCCATCCGTATTTCTACATTTCTCTGAGACTTTGGTGAGGTGACACTAAAAAGGGCTGAAAAGACCTCGTTTAGGATCCAGAGGAGGCACATACCCCAATTCATGGTTTGTGCAACCCAGAAGTCCACATCTGTGAAGTCCACACTCCTGCACCCTGAAAACTGGCCTGTCACAGCACATCAACAAACAGGAGCGAAAGGATGAAATCGGATAGCTTTTCCCAGGAAACCTTCAGCCTCCCTCCAGCTAGGGCAGGATAGGCTACTGGATACCTCCAGAGGCCACACAGTTTTCAGACAGGCTGGATCCCTAGTCTGTGGCTCCCCAGAAAGTGTATCAAATATGTACCTCTGGAGTTAAAAATGGCCCACAGGACCCAGAGCTGCCTGCCCACATCTGTGCCCACGGTCCTGGTGCACCCTTGCTACATAGCTCATCATGGCCACCAGGAGGCAGGAATCACTGAGGGCATACTCAGCAAGAGGGAACTGGCACTATCAGAACATGAAAGCCAGGAGTGAGCTGCCCTCCTCTGGCTGGTCTCCTAATAAATGTCAAGTCTGTTGCTTTCACTCTTCTAGTGACTAAGGTTGATCAGTTTACATTCCGAAGCCCATCCTGTACCAAAGCTTTATCTTTAGTCAGAACAAACAGTGAAACACTTGAAGAGACTGAGGATGACATCTAAGTATTTACAGATTGGCCATATGCAACACATAGCACATGGTAGAAATGAGCAAGGACATATCCACAGTACAACACACAGATTCAAGCATTTGGCTATAACTTTCTCCCACCTGTCTCTCCCTATGAGACATTTTTGTTTCTAGTCATACACTAATACTAGGTATGTGCCTATATGAAGTACATTAAAGGTCTAAAAGTGGCCATGCAGTCTGCTTCAGGCTGTGATCATGTCCACAGTAAATGCAAGCTACTCAGGAAAGATTGGGCTATGATGTTCAGCCTTGCTGGTCACCTCCAAATTAAATGTCTACATGGCTAGTGTGGGGAAAAAAAAAAAAAAAACAAAAAAACCTCCTAACTGCAATAAAATCAGGCCTCAATAGTTTTCAAAGACAGTAGATGAAGGTTCCATAAAATCCTGAAAAGCGCAATCTATGCTTCAAAAGAATCACTGTATGTAAGCTGAGGCAGGGAATTTATTCTAAGCATTTCTTTTTTTTTAAAATATATACTTTATTTTTATTGTATGTTCACTGGTGTTTCGATTGCATGTATGTCTGTGTGAAGGCCCTTGTACTGATTACAGACATGTGTGAGCTGTCATGTGGGTGCTGGGAACTGAACCCAGGTCCTCTGGAGAGCAGCCAGTGCTTTGAGCCATCTCTCCATCCCCAGGCATTTATTTTCACACCTTTCCTTTCTCATAGTATAACTCTCCCACATTTTATTTTACCATTTTAAATGATAATTTGTCAAAAACTCTTGCTAAGAATTTCTGAATTCTCTCAGAGATGGAGAAAGTATTTGTAGATATCCCTTACTGGTTTCTTTTTTAAGACAGGGTCTCTCTGACTCTGTATCTGGGGCTCACTACACAGTCCAGACTAGCTTCCATGTTACAGTAATCTTCCTACTTCAACCTTCTTTTTTATTTTTAAAAAAGATTTATTTATTTATTTATTTTTTTGAGACAGGGTTTCTCTGTGTAGCTATGGAGCCTGTCCTGGAACTAGCTCTTATAGACCACACTGGTCTCAAACTCTGCCTGACTCTGCCTGACTCTGCCTCCCAAGTGCTGGGATTAAAGGCGTGCGCCACCACCACTTGGCCTGAAAATATTTATTTATTTATTTATCTGCTCTGCTTAAAAAGATTTATTTATTTATTATGTATACAGTGTTCTGTCTACATGTGCTTTTGCATGCCAGAAGAGGGTACCAGATCTCATTATAGGTGGTTATGAGCCAGCATGTGGTTACTGGGAGTTGAACCAGGACCTCTGGAAGAGCATTCAGTGCTTTTAACCTCTAAGCCACTTCACCAGTCCCCTACACTTCAACCTTCTAAGTGCTGGGATGATCAGAACAAGCCAGAATTATCTAGATTACTGTAACTTCTTTCATAAAAAATTAACTGTACTTCATTGATAGTTTTGGTGTTTATTTATTAATACTTTTGAGCAATATTTAGAACCTATAGAACTTTGGATCAGAATACTCTAAACACTTTAAAATAAATAAAAATGATAAAGTAACAGCCTAGAGGTTCCCAGCACCACTGATATCAGGAGCCAGGCTTGCCTGCAGCACCAAACAGTGTGCCAGATCCCATATCCTTGAGCTTGGTGGCTATTGGCAGGTAATTCATTGAATACAGTTAAACATTGCAATATGATAACAGAGGCATTCTTAGCTTAAAATATAATTGATAAAGAGGGCATAAAAGGGCCTGGAAAGATGGTTTAGTGGTTTAGAGCACTTGTAGCAGAGTGCTACATAATGGCTCACAACCATCTGTAACTACAGCTCCAGGGTACCAGATGCCTTCTGACTTCCTTAGGCACTAGACACACATATGATTCACATACATATATGCAAGTAAAATATTCATATTTATAAAAATAAATCTAAGAAAATATTTTTTAAAGAAGGCATTAAAAATGTTGAAGGCTCTAGGTAGGACGCATGTCACCTTTGACACTTCAGTGAGTGGACACCTTACCTTTTGATGAGTTTGATAGATTTGAAAGCTTCATCCATGTCCCCAATGGTGACAAAGAAGCTGAAGTTGAGCATGGCTTCCCGAGTAGGCTTGTCACAGTCCTCCAGCCCCACAAAGTCTCGTAGGGGTCTCTTGGCTACCATCTGAGGGATGTGGTAGTGCCCAGAATCCACCCTGTCTTCTTTCTCTGCTTCTCCAGGCTGGAGGACAAAGGCCCCATATAATTATCAGGTAATATGCAAAGGCAATGCCTGCAATTATTCAACTTCCTCTAAATTCAAACACCACTGGGAAATCTATATGCAGGGAGGCACAGGGAGCCATTGGCCATGGAGTTCCCACAGGGTCCTGAGAAACCTTTAATGTCACTGGAATTGATCAAAGCTTTGTGTCTTTGTTTCAGACAACAGACAGACAAAGGCTATCCAGGTATAAACTTGTTTTGTCAGTTTCTAATTCAGTAATGTCAGTCTCACATTAAAAATAGCTCTTTTTGCTACCCTCTCCCAGTGTTTCACTCATTGTGAAGACTTTTTACCAGCTTTAAGTCAAGTCAGACACACATGTATCTCTTAAAATTGAAGAACACTAGTCTGACTTTCTTGAACAGGAGGTGCTGAGGAGCCCACTGCCCCTGCCATGGCTCTTCTAATGCTCGAAGCCTCTGTACCTGTGCTTAGACCCTTCTCTCCAGGACTGGGACTCCCTTCTCTCTGCAGACCATTTGTATATTGTTATGTACACATACTGTCTGGCATATTATCTACCACCACGACTATCCATCACCTCTCCACCTCAGCTATCATGAATGATTCAGCCTCACTGTTCTTTCTGAGCCCACCTGGCAGGCCCAGTGAGAAGACCCCAAGGAGGAACCAACACTTGTCCTGGACTCTGAAAATCTGATGAAATGTATCATGCCTCATTATAGCTGGAAGCCCTTCTAGAGACAGCATAGGGCATAAGCAAAGGTTCTGTTGAGGGAAGCTTGAGTTTAGGTCCATGGAGATAAACATCGATATATAGCTCAACTAGGTGACAGAAGAGTTTGGCTAATTGTGCACCAAGTTGGACACTGTCCTTCACAGGTAACATCATCCTTGGTGTGCTTCTAATGAACCCATTTTATTGTGTGAGCATGCTGGGGAGTCTCACAATTCCCTGTTTCCTGCTTATTTGCCATGTCTCTTTATTTTAGCTCCTTGTTACTTATCTCTGAAACAAGAAATGTTGTCTATGGCCACACTACCCTGAACACATCTGAACTTGTCTCATCTTGGGAGCTAAATAAGGCTTGGACCTCATTTGTATTTTGACAGGAGGCAGAAACTTTATCCTATGTCATAGTAGATTGGCACAACCTGCCAGTCACATGGTAAGGGTGCTGGGAACTCAGAGTATTGGAATTTCTCAGACCATCCTGGGATGTGTGGGCAGTGAACATCCGGGCATGTCAGCAAACAGAGTAAGAGCAGCCTTTAAAGGAACACAATGCCTTCTGGCTGGTCCTTAGCAGCACTTTGCAAGTTAAACTAATGATACTCCTTATATTACAAGCAGGTCAACCAAGCATTTCCTATATCTGGAGATAATGTGAATGGCTACGCACACCACAGGTACACACCAGACTGAGAGCCAATGGGCTTCTGTCAAATTTTACTAAGTCCATGGCTCCATGGTCAAACAAAAAGCCCTAGCCTCCAGAAATATGTAGGTGAGCAAGGTAGGCAGGAAGTGCTGGAACACACACAATATAGCAAGAAGATAAGGGTCTCAGGGACATGACAAAACCAAGATGACAAGCCATAACCTAGGGTTTCATACTTACGACTGCATCATAAATGCCTCTTCTGTGGAATAACAACTATGAGTGTAGGCACAGAAAGGGAGATGAGAAAAAAAGAAAACATGCATAAATATGTGGAAGAAACAAAATCCAG